TGGCGCTAGAACACCTACTTGTGGCACTGTGATCCACAGACCTGAAGAGTAAAGTTCCTGTGTCCACCAGCGGGTGTCTCCCAGCAGAGAGCAGTTTGCAGGAATAAGTCTGCACCTGGTACTGGCTACTGGAAGGGTATTTAGCTCCTCCTTAAGAATCCGCCAGTGCCTCATCTTTTCGACTGTCAGCGCATATTCTCTGTTCCACTGCTCCTTGAACCAGGTATCCTGAACTGCTGTCTAACCCTGCTTTACTGGGTTTCTCCTTCTGCTTTGTACATAGCTGAGATAGGTTTTGTTCAGTTTTTCACGAGCATTCACTGGTGTTTGTATAGGTTGCTGAGTTTACACTGTTTGTCATTTTGTATTGTGTTCATAATCCTATTGCATCATTTAGTTTGGAGTCTGTTCTTCTCTGTGCAGCTCCACATATATGATGATAATTTCTGCTCTGCAGGATACCAGCCTGTGGTTTCCTAACATCAAGTGTGTGATCTGAATCAAACCTTATAGTTGACTCAGGAACCGTTAGTTTGTCTGATGTTTAATATACGCTATATACTTTTAAAAGGGATTTTAAAGCACTCACGTTGCTCCTGGGTCCTGACTTGGACAGCTGGGTGGGCTGGCTGGACAACATATCCTGAGAGGTTCCAGTTGTGGGCAGCTCTGGCTGCTGCTGCTCAATCTATTCTGCTGCAACTCCCTTTGCCCACATTCTGCTTGGGTGGCTGGATCCAGTAAGTAGTACTTGCAGGCTCAGTGATAGGTAGTTTAGCTTCCAAAGCAAGCTGCTGTGTTGGGGAGTGAAGAGTTAGTGTCCAGGTGGCCCTGAAAGCTCAATACTCAGAGAGGAGGCAAGACTGTGTCAGGCATTAGTAGTGGTTGCCTGTTGCTGTAGCAGCGTCCAAAAACAGTAAGTTATGGGATTTTTTTTCTGGTCACCAGGATCTTCTTTATTTAGCAGATAGCTGAAGTGGTTTTGAAGGGTATGAAGCCAGCCAATTGATTATGTCTGCATGTGCCCTGACACCCATCAGACCCAAGCAGGCTTTGTGGGTGACCCAACCCTGTATTATTCAAGCAGTGTTTAAGTCAAAAAGTTGACTTTACCCTACAGGTAAGATTATAAAAAGATGCCTTTGAAATGGCTCAGACTTGCAATATTTAATAAATATTGGTATTGGTTTAAGCTGATGATGTAATTGGTGTGTGCACAATAATCTGCATGCATGGAGCACTGAGTGTGTTGTGGATGCAAAGAATATCGTACCACTATGGTAACTTCCGTGCACATGTGCTAGAGTTACGTCATTGAGGCCTGGCCATTCAAATGGCTGGCGTGTACAAATCTGGAAAGAAGACAGGTGAAGATTAATGCACCTACAGCAGTAACAGTGCAGCTCTGAAGGGTTCATTTGATAAGATATGGTACATACTAGAACATTATGGCATTAACCTGCAGGGGGACATTTTATTATTTTTGTTACGTTTATTGCCACTTTTAATGTATAAAGCCACTAAACACAGTTTGTTTTTAAACTGTCATTTTTTAGGACTATAGCCTTTACTCTCATTTGAATTGTGCCTATTTACTCACCAAGCTCAGATGAAGGTACAGGTTCTTTAATGCCTTTTACTACAACTCTCTGGGTTCCAGCACTCGCTCATGGAAGTTTAGTTCCTTAGCAGCTCAGAGAGGCCATACCTGATGATGTGGCAAAGTTAGCTGGACACGTGAACTGCAGCCAGGTGAGTAGCCCTCCACTGTCATAACTGATGTTCGGGCAGCCAAAATGGAGCCTAATAGCATCTAGTTGTTTATCTGGGTCACCAGAGCTACCCTGGATTTCACTGAAAGGGTTGCTGTTTATTAGAACAATTATAGTAGGTCTTTGTGTCCTGATCTTCTTTTTTTTTTTTTTTTTTTTTTTTTTACAAAATCAGCAATTTTCAGCTAGATTATCTGTTTTTACAGAATCTTAGAGAGACTATGCTATGAACTCACATTACCCTGATTGAGTCACAGAGACATTGCTGTGAAGGGTCCACATTTGTGCTGATTTTATAATCCGCTTTGTATTATTCTACATCAGTGGTTCCAAACTGTGGCCCAGGAGCCTGATGTGGTGCTTGGCTTGCTTTTAGCAGTCCTTGGGGCACTATTTTATCTACTGATACCAACAATAGTGCATAATTCCCTCCACTGACACCAATTGTGAGGCACAATTCCTCACAATGACACCAACAATGGGGCCCAATTCCACCAATGATGGGGCACAATTCCTCACAATGACACCACCAATGATGGGGCACAATTACACCAATGATGGGGCACAATTCCTCACAATGACACCACCAATGGGGTCCAATGATGGTGCACAATTCCTCCCAATGACACCAACTGTGGGGTGCTATTCCTCCTACTGACACCAAAGAAGGGGCATAGTTTTCTCCCACTGACATTGGGACCTTTTCTACTCTCACTGGCCACAGTCCGGCCCCCTCAAAGTCTGAAGGACTGTAAACTGGCCCTTTGAAAATTTGGAGACCCCTGTTCTACATTGTAAGCCTGCTCTTTGCCACCCTGAACCTGCTTTGCATTATTGATTCTAACTTTGTAGCTGTTTAGTAATCTGCAAGTCACAGTTACTTCCAATTCCTGATCATTTGGCGATAACCCATCCTGTTAAAGAACGTTTATGTAATTTACATGTTGCAATTATTGCTGATTATCTGGTTCCTAAGTAGTTGTTTGTGTATCTGCATGTATGAGGGGGTAGGGATGCTTGTTTTAATTTTCACCCTGAGAGCTGTACTTTACCCTAGAAACCATCCAGCCAGCAATGAACAGAAAATTTAACTGAAATCAGCATTTAGCTGGTTAGTGCTAACAGAGCGAAGAAAGCTGGTTGAACTGTAATTGGTTACAATAGGTTATACCCATCACTGATTTTTCTAAATTACAATACATTAATGCTCAAAGCCACTTAAGTCATATTACTTTAGTATTACAAATCTTTGATAGAAATGCTTTGTATAAACATTTTTTTTTTCTAAACAAAGCAACAGAATAAAGTTGCTGGTCCTCTGTGTATTTCTTGAGATAATTACAACTTTTACACGGTTGCTATTAGACTGAAGCATCAGCACAGCAGAAATAAGCTTCTTGGTTCTCTGCTCCAGCTACTTTTATTGGTCTTTCAGTGCATACAGTAGGTGCTTATTCAGTAAAGGACTGCCAATAACCCATTGCAACCCGCAAGCTTTTACTTTAATACCATAAGGTTTCTAAAAAAAAAATTTGGTTTCAGCACTTTTGCATATTGCTGTTTAGCTTTATCAGCCCGTGTGTGCATGTCATCCACCTTTTGAACTGTGCTTACAAGAAATTGTTTAACATTTTTTTTTTTTGTCTGCCCCCAAAATCCGCATCTTACAAAGCATCCTATTTCAGAAGATTGGTTGGAGAGAAGTGTACTCTGCAGAAGGAAATGTAGAGATTGAATTTTTATGTTGCAATTCTACAATAAAAACAGATATAAAGAAGGCAAAAGATGCTAGACATTTTAAAAACAGTTAAACAACATTGTATCAATAAAAATGACCCCTCTTTCTGGCTGAGACTTTGGCCAGTTTCATTGATGAAAATTTGTATATATAATATTTTGATGGAGTTAAACATCTACAGTATATGCAGTTAGTACCTTCAGTAAAAACCCATTGATTAATATTTTCAGAGGTATGTGATGCTGAAGGTATACGCAAAGCTTTACCGTTTCTTTAAAAGTCAGATTTGATTCTGCTCTACCTGAGCCCATCCATTGATCAGTGAGGCAACACCACAATAGATGCTCAATGTGAAAGCCTGGAAGGTGGGAATGGTGGAATCAAGTCAACATTATCTAGTAAGATATCTTATCTTCAACTTATCTCTTCAAGATATCTTCAACTTATCTCTGAATCTACACAATGTAGTGACTAGAGGTGGGAAAAAAAAAAACAGAAAAATTGGGGAAATTTTTTTTCAGTTTTTTTTTTTTTTTTTCCCTAAGCCCTTCTTTTTTTTTTTGGGAAATATTTAAAAAAAGCGTGGCATATGTTTTTACAATGATAAATAATATATTTATGACAGTATTCAAACTATGTAACATGAAGAATTTATTGAAAGATTTCTGAGACATTATGTAAAGTCTTAAATTGTTGCATTCTCTCAGCTGAAGACAAATAAGTCCTGGAATACAATTCAGGTAACACTGTACTGCTCAATGCAGTTCTCAAACAAGACATACACTATATTGGCAAAAGTATTGGGACACCTGCCTTTACATGCACATGAACTTACATTCCAGTCTTGGTCCGTAGTGTTCAATATTGAGTTGTCCCACCCTTTGCAGCTATAACACCTTCAACTCTTCTGAGAAGGCTGTCTATAAGGTTTAGGAGTGTGTTTATGGGAATGTTTGACCATTCTTCCAGAAACGCATTTGTGTGGTCAGGCACTGATGTCGGACAAGAAGGCCTGGCTTGCAGCCTCCACTCTGATTCATCCCAAAGGTGTTCTATCGGGTTAAGGTCAGTCAAGTTCCTCCATCCCAGACTTGCTCATCCATGTCTTTATGGACCTTGCTTTGTACACTGGCGTGCAGTCATGTTGGAACAGGATGGGGCCTTCTCCAAACTGTTCCCACAAAGTTGGGAGCATGAAATTGTCCAAAATGTCTTGGTATGCAGATGCCTTAAGAGTTCCCTTCACTGGAACTAAAGGACCAAGCCCAACCTATGAAAAACAACCCCACAACATATTTCCCCCTCCACCAAACTTTAAACTTGGCACAAATCAGTCAAACAAGTACCGTTCTACTGGCAACCGCCAAACCCAGATACGTCCATCGGATTGCCGGACAGAGAAGTGTGATTGGTCACTCCAGAGAAACACGTCTCCACTGCTCTAGAATCCACTGCATCCAATGCTTTGCATTGCACTTGGTGATATAAGGCTTGGATGCAGCTGCTCGGCCATGGAAACTCATTCCAAGAAGCTCTCTACGCACTGTTGTTGTGCTAATTTGACGGCAATATGAAGTTTGGAGGTCTTTAGCTATTGATTCTGCAGACAGTTGGCGACTTCTGCACACTATGCGCTGACCCCGCTCTGTCATTTTACGTGGCCTACCACTTCGTGACTGAGTTTACTGCTGTTCCCAGTTGCTTCCACTTTGTTATAATACCACTAACAGTTGACCGTGGAATATTTAGTAGCAAAGAAACTTTATGGATGGACTTATTGCACAGGTGGCAACCTATCACGGTACCACAAAAGCTCCTGAGAGCGACTCATTCTTTCACAAATGTTTGTAGAAGCAGTCTGCATGCCTGGTGGTTAAATTTTGTACACCTGTGGCAATAGAGGCGATTGGAATACCTGTATTCAATGATTTGGAGGGTGTCCCAATGTATAGTGTATATGCATTTCTGCTTCTAGGGGTCACTGCAGGGGAAAGGCTCCAGTTTATTTGCTTGTGGGCTCCATCCTGTACCTCCTACAGTTGGGTAATTGTTGGGATACTATAGATATGTCCTTCCCTAAGGCCTTGATTGGCAGAGAAAAGGGTAAATGTCTGACAAATGTGTCAGGGATCCCCTCGATCCCTGCCGCGATGGTCCCGGTGCAGGCGCACTGCTCCGCCCTGTACACGGGCACTAGGTCCGGGCCGGCCGCGGCGTTCGAGTTCGCGTATGCGCAGTAGAAGCCGCGGCCGCCCGCTGGGCACCAATGGCAGCGCAGGGCGGGATATTTAAATGTCCCTGAGCTGTCATTTCGTTGCCTTCTGGTCTTACCTGCTTCCTGTGATTCTGTACCTGTGCCTTGTAAGTTTATTGACCCGGATTGTTCTTGACCTGCTGATTTCTCCTGCCCAGACCCTTGCTTTGCCTGACCTCTCTCCCTGGATGCCCCTCATTAGATCTGACCTACTATTGCTGACCTGGCGTGTGACCCGACGATTCTCTGCCTGCTCCCTTGTACCTTACCGTCCTCTACGTTACCAACTCGGCCTGTCTGACTTCGCACTTGCTCAGCCATCCATCCATCCCCATCAGGGTCACCCGACCTCCTCACATCTGGCTCTCCCTGGTTGGAACCCCTGGCGAACACCCCTACCACTGACAGGTGTGCTCAGTAGCGGCGACCTGGTCTCGGGGTACTACAAGTCCATCCCCACCATCAGGGCCCTGGTGAACAAGTACCCTGGGGCTTAGACTCCGCGCTCTGGGCACGCCTGACCAGTGGAGTGCTAGTGGTGCCGCTCGGCGGTCCCTCACAGTACCAGAAGGCCATGACTGAGCCTCGAGGAGGACCCTCCCCGATGGAGGAGGTTTGCAGGCACCTGGCTACCCTGACGCAAGCAGTAAACTCTTTGCAGGACAGATGTTTGCAGATTGAGAATCGGTTTCAGGCCTGCACCATATCTGCTCCTGTTTCACAGGCCCCGGCTCCTGCACCTCCGGTCGCAGCAGCCCACGAGCCAGCTCCTGGGCCTTCCGCATCACTCCCTATGGCGGAACCCCGAGTACCCTTACCCGAGCGCTTCCACGGGGATCGCACACGCTTTCGGTCATTCCGTGACTCCTGTCTGCTCTACTTTGAACTGCAACCATGGACCTTTTTGACAGAATCGGTGAAAGTAGGGTTTGTTATCTCCCTGTTGCAGGGTGAACCCCAAGACTGGGCCCACCGACTAAGGGGAAATAATGATCCCCATCTGGTTACGGTTGACAACTTCTTTAACGCTATGGCCATCTTATACGATGACCCACAATGGGCGGCCTCGGCCGAGGCCACATTATACGCACTCTGACAAGGTCGGCGAGCGGCTGAGGAATACGCCTCTGACTTTAGGCGCTGGATGGGAGACACTCGCTGGAACGAGTTCGCACTTTTGCACCAGTTCCGTATGGGCCTATCTGAGGCTCTGAAAGACGAGCTCGCCCGGGTAGAGGTGCCCGAGACATTAGAGGACTTGATTGCACTCACCATTAAAATTGACCGTAGGCTAGGCTACGGGAGCGCAGATTGGAGAGGTCTGGTCAGGGTCGCGGAAATACCTGGGGGTCATTCCAAGGATCCAGTCAACATACTAGGCCAAACATCCAGAACCTGCCGTCTGAAGATGCTCCCGAACCCATGCAGCTAGGCCTGGCACGGCCTAAACTACCGCCAGAGGAACGCCAGCGCAGACGCTCCCAGAATCTGTGTCTCTACTGCGGTGAAGCTGGTCACATGGTACGTTCCTGCCCGCAGAAACTGAGTAAGTTCACCTCATCATCTTCTTTATCTATTGGCAATATGAATCCGTCCCAATACTTAGTTGTCCCCCTCTCCTTTCAGCTTTCAGAAAGGACCGTGGAGGTGACGGCCATAGTTGATTCGGGGGCATGCAGCTGTTTTGTGGATATCAATGTTGCTCACCAGCAGGGTATCCCCCTCCGTCCAAAGGAGAAGGGGTTTCACATCTTTTTGGCTGATGGGTCCCGGATAAAGTCAGGGGTGGTTAACCAGGAGACCCCTTCCATTGTGACTTCCATTGCCGGTCAGCACCGGGAACTCCTCCGCCTGGATGCTATTGCATCACCCCTTTTCCCAGTCATTCTGGGGCTCCCATGGTTGCGGGCCCATAACCCCCAAAATGACTGGGAAACTGGGGTTGTCTCGTTCCCTTCCCCATACTGTCGGGAACTGTGCCGAACTTCGGGCCCGGAGGTCCCCAGGTCCTCCTGTGCTCTGAAGGGGATGCCAGCCTAAAACAAGTGATTACTGCAGCCTATCATAAGTTTCTTGATGTGTTCAGTGAACGGGGAGCAGATACTCTACCCCCCCACCGCCCATATGACTGTCCTATTGATCTGTTACCCGGTTCTGAAATTCCCTTCGGGCGAATTTTTCCCCTTTCTGAGCTAGAATTTGGGGCCCTGAAGGATTATATTGAGGACAGCCTCCGGAAGGGATTCATCCATCCCTCCACTTCCCCAGCAGGTGCAGGGATCTTCTTTGTAGAAAAGAAAGACAAGACTTTGAGGCCATGTATTGACTATCGGGAGCTGAATAGGGTCACAATTAAAAATAGTTACCCATTACCACTGGTACCAGAATTATTCCAGACCTTAAAAGCTGCAGTAGTATTTACCAAGCTGGACTTAAGGGGAGCCTACAACTTGGTTCGCATAAGGGAGGGGGATGAGTGGAAAACGGCCTTCCGCACCCGTTTCGGCCATTTCGAATACCTGGTCATGCCTTTCGGGTTGTGCAATGCGCCGGCCACCTTCCAGCACTTGGTAAACGACATCTTTAGGGACTTCCTGGACATCTTTGTCATCGTCTACTTAGACGACATTTTGATTTTCTCATCCTCCCTGGGGGAGCACAGGGTACATGTAACAAAGGTGTTGGGGCGGTTGCGGCAGCACGGGTTGTACGCTAAAGCAGAGAAATGTTGCTTTGAACAGGCTAGCGTTACATTTCTGGGTCTGATTATCTCCACCACGGGGGTCGCAATGGACCCTCAGAAGGTCTCTGCGATCCTAGATTGGCCTGAACCCACGGACAGGAAAAGCGTCCAACGTTTTATCGGGTTCGCAAACTTCTACCGGAAGTTCATCAAGAACTTCTCGGGTCTGGTCTCCCCCATCACTCAGTTAACCAAGCTTGGGACGCGATTCAGATGGACGCCAGAGGCACAGGAAGCTTTTGAAGCACTAAAGAAGTTATTTACCTCGGCACCCATTCTGGGTCATCCCGACGCCTCCCTGCCCTACATCTTAGAAGTAGATGCGTCAGAAAACGCGGTTGGCTCCATCCTTTCCCAGCGAAAGGGCGCCAAGGAATTACTTCACCCAGTAGCATTCTTCTCACGAAAACTTACCCCTGCGGAGAAGAACTACGACATTGGGGATCGAGAACTACTGGCTATCAAGACCGCATTAGAAGAATGGAGGTACCTGCTGGAAGGTGCCTCACATCCCATCCTGATATTCACGGACCACAAGAACCTGGAATATCTGAGGACGGCCAAACGTCTGCGCCCACGACAAGCAAGATGGACATTGTTTTTCTCGAGGTTCCAGTTCCACATCACATACAGGCCAGGTTCAAAAAACACGAAGCCAGACGCGTTGTCACGTATGTACGAGGACGCCAAGGAGATCCCAGTACCTGACACTATTCTGCCTGCGGGAAACTTCTTGGCCCTCCAGACGAACCTTCGCTCCGAGATCCTGAGAGCGTCCACAGCGATGTCTACCTCCGATGGGGCGCCCCTCCAGAACAAGGGGGGACTCCTATGGAGGGAAGACCGGATTGTGGTGCCGGAGGATGCCCGAACCTTAGTCTTGGGACATTGCCATGACCACCCGATGGCAGGACATTTTGGCCCGGTCAAGACCCTGGAACTTCTCCGACGTTCCTTCTGGTGGCCGGACATGGCCAAGGATTGTAAAAGTTACGTGGGCTCCTGTGCCATCTGCCAGCGGAACAAGCCTTCAAGAAATAAGGCGTGGGGCCTGCTACGTCCATTACCCATCCCTGAACGGCCCTTGCAGAAAATCTCTATGGACTTTATAGTCGAGCTTCCACCTTCACTGGACCACACAGCAATTCTCGTGGTCGTGGACTGCTTATCCAAGATGGCCCATTTCATTCCTTTACGGAAGACTCCATCAGCAACCGAGACGGCGCAAGTTTTTATTCGAGAGGTCGTTAGACTGCATGGGGTTCCCGAAGACATCGTCTCGGACCGAGGGGTGCAGTTTACCTCGAGATTTTGGAGGGCATTGTGCAAAGCCCTGGATATCAAGCTATCCCTTTCCTCGGCATTTCACCCTCAGACCAATGGTCAGACCGAAAGGACCAATCAGACCCTAGAGCAATACCTGCGATGCTACACATCATTCTCTCAGGACGACTGGGTGCCACTTCTCCCTTTGGCGGAATTCGCGTACAACAACGCTTGCCATTCAGCAATAGGGCAGTCCCCGTTCTTCTCCAACTATGGGTTTCATCCTGTCTTCCTCCCGGATTTAGTCACGGAATGCCCAATTCCAGCGACACAGGATGCACTAACCTTTTTCACTTCAAACAATAAAAAACTACAGGAAGCCATCCGTCAAGCCCAAGAAGACTACAAGAGGGCTTTTAATAGGAAGCAAAGAGGGGATCTGGTGTTGCGGCCCGGAGAGAAGGTTTGGCTGGCTACATCGAACTTGAAGATGCTCTGCCCGTCAAAAAAGTTGGGGCCTAAATTTATAGGCCCTTTTTGCATCAAACGGATGGTCAATGAAGTGGCCTATGAACTTGTTCTCCCTGAGACACTCAAGATC